ACAGGGAGCCAATTGACCTGCAGGATTTCCCCAAGGAGGCGCATAATTGAGTAAATTCTGTGATAGGCATGTTCGCCGTGATCGTCATTGAACATATAGCAGGCGTGAGTATCCGAGGTTTTACTCAGTGACATGTTGTATGTCTGGACTATCGCCAGGCTGCGGAAAGAACGGGATGACCAAAAAGGCGTGTAGGCAATAGCCCTGATCGTCATCACCGAACGGAGCCTTGTATATCTCATCGGTCTGCGGAGTCTGTGCGAGACAGATTGGATGTCCATGTCATCGCCAGGCCGCGCCCAGTCATACCCACCAGTGATCTCATTGAACTTATGGCAAGCGAGAATATCGACCTCGAGGAGAGAGACTGACATATACACACCTTTTGTATAATGATGGATGAAGCAGCAGTAAGTGATCGAAGTAGGCCGTTCTTTAGATAGCGCAGTCGTTCGGAGGTGGGCTCATTGTACACCAGACCCATTGGTAGCTGCCATCAGCCCGGTCTACCCTCCTTTTCTGTGGCAACCATAACTTTGATGTTGACTTATCAAAGCCTAGCTTTGGGCTCAGCCCGTCGAAATCCTCGACCGTCCACTCTTCTTGACCCAGCAGGTACTGCAGAAAAGTGGTGTAATGCACGGGTTACTGAAAATGTCCAGTTCTCATATCATGAGTCGTAGTTCTGGTGGTAGCTTGGGAAAGCTGGTAAAGGTACCAGGCTGTCTGTGTTGTGGTACAGAAGAGAGCACCCAAAGAACATTATTGTTGACTGCTACCTGTTGCTATGCGTCTAGGGGCAGATTCGTCAGCGTTTCGATCCGATTAATTCAAAAGTCATAATCATTAGCCTTGACTAAGACCAAAAGACTTTGACTTCCTTCTTCCATGTTCGATAGAACCATGCTGACTTCTCCGGACTCTGATAGGAGTGTGAACAGGTAGAGGCTTCACGTCGTCTCCAGCCGCATTGCTTGTTCCCGTAGCTTGATGGTGTCTTTTGCTTTAGGGGAAGGTGCCGACACCAGGGCGGTCGTAGATATCGTCATCCTCGTCGTCGTCGGCAGCACCTTAGCATTCCTCTTCATGACTTCCCTGGACTCTGCGCATGACCTCCTAGTATGTAACTCACTTGCAAAGGTTATGGCCTGTCTCTCGTGGTGCATCAAGATGATGTCCATAGGCTTTTCATTCTGTGCCAAAGATTCATCAATATGTAGCTAGTAATCGAGAGACTTATTCCGTTGCGTCCAGGCCGGTGAGGCGACAAGTCATTATCAGCGTCCACCTCTGCGTCCGGAGCAGGCGGTAGATTCGCCGTTACTTGTGCACTTTGTCTGTCTTCATATATGAGAATCAACAGATCCGCACAGTTCTTGGAAGCAGGGCCTTCAAGGAGATCAGAAGTACCGAATACAGTACTCCATTCCGATGAGCTTGTGACCGTCAATGTTGGTCGCAATCAAAGCGCCAAGTAGTGAGATCTTGAAGCTGACGCAAGAATAGCTTGACCTCGTCATATTCGAAAGTAACCTGTCGTGTGGTAGTCGTCGTTGGACATGCATGGCCAGTAGAAAAAACGAGCTCACTGATCTCAAATTGCTGATCCGTGTATTCTTCGGAGGCAATGTAGGGAGCAGAACCGCTCAGGGGCAGCACTATCGTGCCTGTGCTTCTTAAACCCTCAGGTTCACCTTCCATCCCGTCTATCGTACTCAGCTTGTCGAACCACTCCTAAATGCTGGCTAAAATGATCCAGAATCTATCGGGATCTTCCTCAGTCTCGAGGCTCCTGGCTCGCAAGTCTATGTCGGTATCGGACACATCAGTGTAGTCGGTTCTTCTCCGCTTGAGGCGGCTGCTCCGACGAAGAGACGGTGGCGAATGAGAACGAGCGCGGGAACTGAGACCCTTCAACCTCATCGTCTGCCAATTGGTCCTCCACGATGGACTCAGAGCAACCCACAAGGTCAAGGCCACCACCGTAATACAGGCTTCTGGGCTTCGTAACTTGGGCCGTCCGCTATGTTAGGCTAAAAGCAGCATCGTCATCTTTTCGCGTTGATTTCGCTTAGTTCAGCAGGCATCGCTCGTGGTTCATCTGCTGCTCGTGGATTTGAGCATGTAAGGCTATTTTGCGTCGTTGTACATCGCCTTTCATCTTTAGACGGTGTTTCAAGACATCCGATATACGTTCAGGCTAGGCCGGTTGAGTTGGAACTTGTATCTAGACTGGTATTCGAGCTCGTCATATGGAAGAATTGATCAAGACTCGTATTCCAAGCTGTGAACTTGAGGCCTGTGAGATTCGGGGAAGGCGAACGAGATAGCAGAGTACCTGTAACTGCGTAAGCAAAGAAGCATCTAAGGAGTGAATAACTCGAGAGAAGTGGTAACTCAGGTAATTACTCATAAAACTCACGTAGTTCCGAAGTCGATGCTGAAAAGTACTTGATGTCGAGCTTCTGTTGTTTTGGCAATCGATTGACCAGTGGTGTAGAACTCCAAGGGAATTGAAGATCACAGATATAGCTGGCTTCCACTCATAGCCTCTACCATCATCTCAACTCACCGAGGTCAAATCAAGACACCGAGGTCTAATCTGAGGCTGTGAAGGAGATTGTTAATGCTGGAGACGAGGCATGACATGAGCTTGGGTATTCAGTTATTTTGCTGTTTGCCGCATAGCATTGGATGGTCCACGCGAAGGCCGTAACATCCTCCACCCACTTCTGGTGAGAGTACTGGAGGGTGCGGTTTAGCGTCCGTCGGCCTTTTTGAGGGAGAGTGCGAGTTCGATCTCGGGCTGATCTTCCGTGTTGATATGACCTGAGCTGTTGGGAAGATCGGGTGAAATATAGTCTTCGTTGTCCCTGGTATTGGATCCCTTCCAGGCTCGTCTCTAGTCGGTGGTGGTTCTTCAAGCAGCTGCTTGGTGTTCGAGTTAGACGGCATCTTCTGCATCGTCGCTGGTGGTCATTCTCCATTGGGTCAAGTGGTACTTGTATGATGGTCGATCGATGTCTCTGCGCTTCGTCAGCCAGCGATATCCCCTGCGAAAGTTGTCCTCCAGCTATCTTCATTTTTCGGATGGTATAGCAGATGGATTGGGGGTCTTGCCGTGCTCCTATCCGTGGAGTTTCGCCGGTATATATGTCGATATCGGCCTTTATCTGTTCCATTATCTCTAGGTGTCGGGTTGTATCGAGGCTGATCAGAATTTGATCATTAGCCTGCCGTGGTGATGCGGCCTGCTTGGGGACGCTCAGGATGATCGTTCGCGTTCTTGGGCCAGCTCAAAGTCAAGCATATCGATCTCGCTCATGATGCAGAAGTCCAAGGCATGCATCTCATGAGCCTTTGGGAATTGAGTTCATCTGTAAAAAGAGGTTAGCTATATATATCATTGATAAAGGGGTTGGAATAAGAACTTACCGAAACTTGATCATTCGCCTGCAGGATTTAACATTATCCAGGAAGTTGAGGCCGCCGTCGTATCGAAACGCGCCCGTGTTCTTTTGCACATTCTCCTGGTATTTCTCTTCAGGGGTGTTCACCAGACTAATATGGTGGTCAACTATAACATGAACGCCACCGTAGTCGATATATCGAAGGTTGTTGATGAAAAGGCAGCTTCGGCCTTTGCTTGGAATACGAATCCCAGCGACCTTGAATTTGGCTCTCCATCGCAGATCCAGGATCCGTTCAAGTCCCATGAAGCTACTCTGCTGCATTCTCGGCCCCGACATATGTAACAGGTTTTGGATACTGTTGTTCAGCGCGTTGAAGCCTCAAAATCTGGATCGTTTCGTGACTACAGTGAGGGAGTTCTGTAGGTTACGACTGATGTTTCGTCTGGCGGTGTATTGAACTCAGGTGTAGCCATAAGAGATTGACTGACTTGACTACCACGTTCTGTAGATTTTGGTAGCCCAGCTCCGTAGCCTGATCTCAGATGGAAATGTGTCGTTGATCGGAGGGATTGATATCACCAAGAAACGATGCTATCTCGTCGTTAGTGCGTCGGCCAACTTAAGGAGGATAAGCCATGTCGTCAGTGCCTATATTGGCGTGAAGGCCGGCCTTTCGCTTAGGCTACACAGCGACCTTGGCTAAGAACTAACGTATATTCGGCTTCAACGTTATGACGTGCCATTCGATGTGATTGTTCTCTGTAACACTGGGAAATTGACCCGCTTCATGGCCACAGCGAGATAAGCTTGCAATTCCCTGCATGCTTGAGACTCCCAAATCTTCAGGACATAGAGGCTCTCAAGAGTAGGCTGTCGGAGACTGACTAGGAATCAGTTTGTCTCCCTGTTGATTCCAGACATCTTGCATCAGTGCTGTTTGGTGATGGTCAGCCCAGACTTGGCATCGGATCTAAACAAGAACTGACATACGAGATTGATAAGGCATGTCTTGAGCATCCTTTGATTGTCAACCTTTTTTTCGAAGCGAAACCCAGGGCCGCCTAGGGTCATCATCACACGCTCGGTCAGGCCCTTGAAAGAGCCCAAGATCTCCGGTGTTGTTTATAGGACGCGGCCGCCAGGGTCTTGACATCCGGGCCGAGACTCGGCAGTGCCATGAGTCTCCTTTCTGACCATGGGCGCTATCTCACCCATCAACTGGCCTCTCCAGTTATAACTATAGTATTTCTGAGTAGTAGTGGCGTCACACATGAGATGTGCGACCTGATGCACGCCCAAGTTGTCGTTTGGAATAAGGACCGACATTGGGTGTGAACTTGGCGTTAGATGGCTTGTTCCTTTGTGGGAGTATTGGTGGCAGGACTCAGCGCTCACCGCAGTAAAACAGAGAAGTGGTTCTCGATGTACCGAGCCCAATCACGGCCGGGACTTCGTAACATGGATGCCTTCTCGGTTCTTGGGATGTAAATATGCCGAACATATCTTTTCTTCCTTTTGGGGTTCTTGTTTGCCGAAAAAATTCGTGACTAACCTCAGAGCCACCTGAATTCTGCCGATCGAAGAGATTCAAACGCTGAGGAAGAAGAGTTGGGGGAGTTTCTTATTCTGAGAAAACTTTTGTCGAACCTCAAGGTCGTCCCTGACGCGGAAACGGATGCCCTTTGCCAGAGAAATGTATATTACAATAAGAATGTCAAGGTAGTCGATGGTAGCGTCGTTGTACGGTGTGATTGAATGTCTCTTGAGGAAGAAACCAAACTGGATGGCCGCTTCTTCGATTTGGGGGATGGTGCTCTCGTTGTAGTCCTCTGATCCAGGAGATGAGTCTGGGGGGAGATTATCGAGCATTCAGTGTCAATAACGATCTGACGGCCACCAAGCAGATTCTGCTGTTGCTCGAGGCTGGCGATACGCTCCTTGTCACAGAGTCAGAGTCCTCTATATATCCAACAATGTCATCAGTCTTTGAGATGTGCTCAACTTCTCTGTCTTCATCGTCACTCAGACCCTTTCTCTAAAGAAAACGGATAACGTCGGAGAAACCTTCGTGATTTGCTTTATCAGTAGCCTCAAATATCAGCACGTTGGTGGACAGCCTCAAGTCGAGTTGTAATTGATCTGTCACTGGCTGGAAAAAGCGCAGTCATCAAAGCAGTTGGCGCCCTGCTTTTTAACTTCCAGCCATTGTCTCCTGGGAGGTCTATGAACTTGTTATCGGCGGCGTTCTCATAGAGCTTTGATTGACAGATTTGCTGTAGTCTGAGCTGGACGATCGGTCGGTGTTGCATAGAAGCAGTCGGAAGCAGACTCAAGAGCACACACGAGTAAGGCTGGCGAAGGTATCGCGTGTCTCCAGGGACACATTGATCCAACACAAGCTGATCTCCGCAAGGCCATAGCGCTTTTCGTCGAGCTCGTAAACTAGCCCACGTTCCCAGACTCTTTGACCAGACAGACGTACAGAATTGCATGCTTTAGAAGGTACGTTTGGTGTCTTCTTCCCCGCTATAACGCGCCGAGATTGTAGTCTTTCCGCAACGGTAAAACTCACCCGCTCTCTTTCGCAGGTCAAAAGTCGAAAGCATTCTTCGTACGCAAGCAAACATCAATAGGTGACCTGGAATAAGTACCTGGTGACTTCAACGGATTTTACCCGCTCCTGCTATTATATGAAGAAGCGCTCTCCTGATATAGGTCGGATTCGGCTGCAAGTCCCTCTTCATTGTAAGTCGAGATCTGAAGCCGAATCCATCTGAAGCTTACTCCTTGTTCATCTTTGACACTAAATGCAACGAATTTGTCATGATTTTGTCATTATTGATGTAGGAGGATGGGCCTTGGGTAGCCTCGACAGAGTGCGATCTACCTGTCCGCAGCATGGTCACCACCCAGCTTCGGAAACAGGGAAGTGGTTCTCGTATACCGAGTCTAACCACGACAGGAAGTCTCTGAACAGTGATCGGATATGCTAAAACTGTTCTCTCGGGGTTGGATTAAATGGATTTCGATCTCAGGAGTACATTGAGCTTTGACAATAGCAAATGGTGTAATGTCTAACTCAACAATACTCCTCAGATCGTATTGAGGTCTTCTCTTTTGTCACCCTCCCCATCGTTAGTCTCACCATTGTCTTCAGAGGGCGATTGATCTTGGTGTTATCTTCCTCCACTGTTTTGGTCCTCATCGTCACCGGCTTCCAATGACGGGGGGCGGATTATGAGCATCTTGGGAAGCCATCGTTTTTTAAGTATGCAGCACAATCGTGAAATTGCCTGAATAAAACCGGCTGTACTGGGTGACCTTCAAGGCTGGCAGCGAACAGACGCAGCCCTTTGTAAGGAGCTCCGAGATGAATGAGGCAGCCTTCAAACTCCATATGACCAGCCAGAATGAGGAGTCTGCGCTTCGAGCTTCCTGGCGTAGGTGTTTGGGTCCCGAAGGTATCTTATCAGTCATTAACGCCCCTGAATACGAGATGTATTGCGGGCTCTCCTTCAGAGTCGAAGATGCGAGACGAGATATCGATGGATTGTGCTGAATCACCTCGTGTATCTGACAGTGAAAGTCAAGCTTTTTATACAATCCATTACCGACGCTTGCTGCTTCGGTGTGTCCGACGTAGACCAGTCCCAGGCGGAGAGCCTCGACTGTACCAAGCATTACATCAATGAACAACTAACAGTGGCTCTGCTCTGATGTATTCGTCGTCTAAGTTAATTGTCGCCGTGATGTCTTGATCGAGATAAGACCTTGTTGAATCCTTCTGTGGAGTTCTCTCCCTTTTTGGTGTGCAGGGTTGCAAAGTATCTTCCTTGAGGACTGAGATATAAAGTTCTTTATAACAAAAACCCAAAATGGTCCGAGGACCTGATTGTATTATTGACTTGCTGGCAGTCCAATCCATTGACATTGGATTGACGGGTTGTCCTTGTGTTGGTTCTGGACTCACTGCCTTTGACTGTAACAAGGATAGTAAAAGGTTAGAGATAGCTAAGTGGTGTAATAATCGGTTGCTTGGAGTCCAATCTGTTGACATAGGAGTAACGTGTTTGTAGTAGAAGAGAACATAGGCATCGTTGTACTGGCTTCCGTGCAGCTAGGCAGATAAGGGCGGACCCTTACAGCCGTATCCGTCCCGGACTCCTTGCTTCTGAGGTCCCTTAGTATGCGATGTTCACGTAGGTCGTAAGGGTATCCGGCCTTGATACACCCTAAGTGACCGCCTCGTAAGCCCCATCTTGGCCATCCAAAGGGCTTGCGGAGTTGCGCTCGTCGTCTTGTTTAACTATGCATTATCTAAAAACATACAAGGGTCAGTCGCTTCTCGCGGTACCCAGGTAGTGACATCAATTTCCATGTGATCCTCGCCGTTATTGGTACTCTGGTGGCTGGCCATAGTTGTAGGCTATGCCGCTTGCCCTGACATCAACGACTTCCCTGGGAGTCAGAACAAACACGTATCGGGTGTCTGTAGACAGGCAATAGGCCGCAGCATACCGTTCGACGACGTTGATGTCTGGATTTAAGCGAGCTATCTCAATGGCAAGACACCTCTACCTCGCAGGCCTAGCTGGAGGAGATAATCCATGACTCTGAAGTAGTTTTTAGTAGATGAGACCCTCTTGATAGTAGGGCTAAGTCAAGTCTTTGCTCTATGAGCATGCCAAGGCCATAGGCCAGTGCGACGTATCAACGGGCTGTTGGAGCTAGGGTTCAGGAAGTGGCTGTAGTCAAAGTCCGTTTGGGTGCCTTGGTCAAGTTGACGAGACTGAGAAATACGACGACCGAGTCGGTGTGGGGGCAGACCCAGTATCGTGATGTCAGGCATCTCCTCCATCGTATGGATCTGCTGAGTGTTCTACCGAGGGGATCTTATCTGGGATATACACTCCTATTCCAAGAATCGCGTAGCTATACTGAGCTATGCTCCCAGGCCATTTCGCTTTACCGGGATGGCTGTGGCCAACTGGCACTTCGTCTCGCATGTTTGGCAAGTGCTGGTTGTCCAAGCATCATCAGCGTAGTTCTTGGCCTTGGAGGTTGTATATCCTGTGCTGCAGCCCCAAGGAGAGGCTAAGACACCCCCCGAAGAGACGCACCATTGAGGCTCATTGACCTACGGGCCTTCGTTCTCCATATGATAGCAGAATGGTGCAGAGCGTGGTTTTGAACGCTGGCTCTGATCAAACTCCGGACTGTTGTCTTTGGCTTCGGGAGGACAGATTAGAGGGGATGTCTCCCTGGCCTGCTTTCCAAGTTCGGGCTGCATGACTGGGTGCTTTGCAAACGGCACTGTGTCTGATGATGTAGTTATTGCGGTGTCGGTCACGAGTCGTGGTAAGGGCCTCAATGTCACCCTCAGCGAAAGAAGCCGCAACTCCCTCGGAGTCAGGAATTACGGACTTAGAGGCCAGCGCCCAGGTCCGCTCTCGGTGGGCTTCTTCCCGACGAACTCATCTATTTCTGCGGTCGTGATCTCAAACCGCTCCCCGGGCTTCAAGCGATTTCCCTGCTCCATCCTGGTTCCTGTATCCTTCTTGACGAGACGCAAGGCCTCGACTATGTAGGACGAGACCTTTGACCTGGGCGTCCCTTGCACACGGATGCGTTGACTGAGTTCTCATACTCGCAGTGAGGACATGTGAATGGCGGGGATGGGATCAGCGCCGTTGAAGTTGGGAGACAGATACTGGGTTGGCGCAGCCATGATGAATACTTTCTGGCGTGTATCGAGTGCAGGCCATACACGCTCGAGGCACTGGAACACACACCATCCGCAGGCTTTTGCTGGCGCGTTTGTAGTCTTCTGGTTTGTGATCTCCTCATCCATCTGAGCCGCAGTGGTGATATCACTGCGCTCTGCACGGCGCTTGTGAGATGGGCGGGCTTCTACGCTGTCGGCTGAAGTCCGCTTGCTGCTGGGAGGGGCAAAGCGAGGAGTCATTTGACCACGTGTACGTACTGACGCATTGAAACACTATATGGTGTGTAGAACATCACACGTCCGGGCTGCTCGCTGCCATTCATGGTTCGAAATGATGAGCTCTTCGTCATGGCTATGCTGACGTCGATTCCCCAGGTTGTCTGATCGGCTGAAGGTTGTAGGGATATAGGTGAAATGCAGGACTTTTTCTGTATTGGCGATGCAAGTGACTGCCCCTACTATTAACAGGCCATCAGTTATACAACCAACTCATATGCGTATCCTTGCAAGACACCTACCATGGCAATAGACATTCAGGGCGCCTCAGCGTATCTAACCAGGAAGTACCACTTAAACACTGGCTCCAAACTTGGTGCAGTCATAGCCACTTAGCATCCAATCGTGTAACTTTTCAAGCTCCGCCCCACGGAATTTGGTTTCTTCTGCGAGAGTGATCCAGTAGCCTGTGAAGGACAACCAGCCATCCGTAATGGATTCATGTAGAAATGAACTCCTTCATGCGATAAGACCTATTCTTCACTCTTCTCTTCTTTCTTTCCTTTTTTTTCCTTTTTTTTCCGTTGCCTCCGTACCTCTCTTCTCTGGGCCACTGAGCCTATATCACTTCGCTCAAGGACTTCGGTCAGGTGCCTCAAGAAAACGGTTATCGACAGCATAACCTTTGAGGTGCAGGTACATCCTTGTCTTTGATTCCTTGGGCATCCTGCCTCGCTGGTTGTGGATTATATATGCAATGTCCGTTTGTGTGGATTGGCATAGGTAAAGACGGTTCCCAGAATTTATTTGGACAGCTTGTGATTAGGGCTTCCTTGTGGGGGACGCGGGAGGTGCAAGGGTGACGGTGAGGGCCGGCAAGTTTGCATAATTTCTCAATAGAAAGCAGATGCGTTGTAGAAGACATCCTATCACCTGTCTGATCGGCGTACCATTCAAGAGAAATTTTGCCAATGTATGATCGCCCTCCCTACTCCGAGTATCTCGATATTAATGGAATGTCGTGTCGCAGAATAGAATTCGATAGGGTATCTGCAAGTGTTGGAAACCAAACCAGTTGAGGCGCTCCCCAAGACGAGATGCAGAGGTAGTGCCATTTCCGCTGCCTTGGCCGCGCTGTTTGCTAGTGCCAAGTTGACGAGATAGAGCATACTGTCGGGCTCATAGCCCATGAAACGGATAAATAAGTCAATAATCAGAATAGGAAAGTAAACGCAATAGTCAATAAGACTTGGTTGCTGTTTTGACTTTCTTCCCTAGTCCCAATGAACAGACGCAAATGTTATTTGCAGAAGTTGAGCACGTGGACGACTTCGCGTTGAAACAATATGACACCTTTCATGCGCTTTGGACAAGTTCCTTGATGACTTGCTCAACCTCCAAGATGAATCCCAATACCCTGAGCCTAGGGATCCATCGGGGCTTCTAGGCCGAGGTGGTCGACTCTTTGTTCTTGTTGATGTCAAAGCCGACGACAAACTGGATCTCACCTGCTGATCAGCACTTGGAAGCCACAGAAATCTTGGTGCTGCATTAACGTCGAAGCTGACAAAGGGTTGGATCTTGCCTTTGGTTCCACCAATGTAAACCTCGGCAATCTTGTCGGCCCCTTGCCATGGTGGGTATATGCGACTTCGATGACTATACTAGGGCACCTTAGCTGGGTTCCTGACTGCGGGGTTTACAGCTGCACAGAAACACAGGTCCAGAGCGAGAGTTTCAAGGGCCCGTAGGTGAATAAGAGTTCATCGCCATGGGTTCCGCGAATTGGGCCGCGTGAGATACCCATGGCGATGATTTCGTTCAGGAGATATGGTTTACGGACAAGATGTATAGTATCGGCATTTAAGACACTTGTAAGTCTCGCTGTGAAGGGATCGTCGAAATATTATTCGAATGGTCCTTTCGTCTTCTTCTTCACAGCCACTGATTATATGCCGACTCCACATGCGGTTTGGTTGAGCAAGGCATAACTGGTGTGATTTGTTTCACCTCTGCGTTGCTGGCTAGACACACATTCATTCTCTTGACCATGGTGACTTTGGTTCTTCTCTCGTCAACTGTAACAGTGAAGGCAGATGAGAACAGGGTTGCTGCGGTGCATCCCGCTTGCCCCTCTCTCTGAAAGAGTCGAGATTAGGTGTGCAAGAGAACCGATCTCTAGTGATTGTTGTTCCAATCTCTGAGGAATCCTTGGTGGCATCTCTCAAAGCCAGCAGATAGGCCGGCAAGAGAAGTAGTGTGGGCAAGAACAATAGTGACGGATACTTTGAGATTAGCACTCCCAGCGACCGCCACGGTACCATTGACAAGGTTGGTAAACAGGAGATATCATGATAGCAGATCTGAAAGGCCTCAAGAACATCATTTCGCGGGTAGAAGGTTACGCTGTTGTAACACTGAGACTAATTGATGTTGTCAAGCGCAGACCAAAGGTATCAGCCTTGTTTGTGATGTCGGTCAAACAGCGGTATTTTGGTTGTGTGCGTGATTTCCAACTGTTGGTGTGTGGATGCATAAAAAGCTCCATGTTGGCTAGATTTTGATTGTTGGTGAACCCCCAGGGGTCTTGTTTTTGATTTGCGTCTAATAGCATCATTCGGACTGTTGTTGATCTCTGGAGACATCGCGAATCATGCTTGCCAAATGCTCAGCAGCTTTAAGAGCTGATGCCTTCGTGTGTTCGATCGCGGATCGTACATGGTTCCATGTTTCGTCTATACATTCATCCAACGCTTGGCATCCATGAACTGTGGTGAGGCGATAGAATTTGCTGATTTCGAAAATACAAACCGCCCCGTCTCTAATATCTCGAAGTCATTCTTGACTTCTCTAGGAAGCAAACTCGGTTCTTCACCCATGCTTTTGCATTTCTTGGCGTCGATCGCGAAGTTGAGGTTCTGGAGGAACTCCGAGAGCCATTTCGTTGCCCTGCCCGCGTCGCCGTTGATCTTGGCTTCGAGCTCCGTGCACAGAGCGACCTGCGTCACCAGCCATCGCCAATTGGCAGATAGCTTAGGCTTAACGTAGCCAAAGACGTAGGCCATAAATTCAGTGATTCTATCAAGACGAGAACCATTGACTTTCCTATTCCTGCCATGCCGTGAGAGTCACATTCAAGTCTGCTCTGATCTTCGGTGATCTAGACGGGAACCAATTACGCCCGTTGTTTGAAAGATCGTCGGGGTGTTGAAGTCTCGATCTCGCTGGATAGTTCGACTTCTGTTCAATAAATTGAAGGCCATGCTGTTGCTGCATCGTCGTGTTCGTTCGATGTTGAAAGGCCTGCATTCGGTTGTCCTGCATGTGGCTCGTGAAAGTATGGCCGTTCGGCTGAAAGGTCTCCGGGCCTTGATAACCCATGATGACCAGCCTTGCCATAGAATGATATAGTTCAGTCAGAGGAAACACCGACGAAATATATACCCACGGATGTACTGTTTGAGTTATTGATGGCCTTGCGGTCGTCAAGGTTGGATAACCAATCCCTGGATGTCATCGACAGTCCCTCATAACAGCAATGCAGTCCGCAATCACCACGATCTTGGTAAAGAGCTCATGATCGATCTTGATGGTGCCATGGTGAGGGAATGGCTCATCGCATCGAACACCGCAGCTTGAGCAAGTCTTGTTGGGCCATTTTACTTGTCAAATGCCTTCGTTCTTTGGCGCCAACTCTTGTTTCGTAATTTGTGTCGGGCGGTTGGCATAATCATTTTGGATTTTCCGAATGTCGATGCCTACCTCTTCCATCATTTGGAGTGTGGTTTGCAGGTCCTTCAGCCGCAACTTTGCGAGTAGAACCTCACCATGGCCTTATGGTGAAGTCATAAGTCTTGCTCCTTTGAAAAATTCCCGTGGTTCCCAAGCATGAGTAAAGCTGAGCTGGAAAGGAGCAGTCTGTTCAGTAACTGGTATCTGAGAATGATCCCAACAGTTGTATAGATGACCGGTTGACAAAATTTGCACAAGAGGGAATATTCTGTCATAGTTTCTCTTGACCAGCTGACGTTTCTACGCACAACGTGCTGAGCCCAGTTGTAGCTCCTCCAGTCATACCTTGAACACATCCCTCCCAAGAAACAACAGCGTTTGAAGTTGATGCCATTGAACAGAATGAATAAATGATGAAAATACAGCATGTCTGAAAAGTCTGATTCAACGACAAGCTTAACCATTCCATATGATTGAAGTTGATCCATGTTGACTTTGTAAAGCTAGCGGTAAAAGGGTTGTGCTTAGAGTCTTGACCTCGTGATTATGTGCTTTGCAGGAGGTCTCCAGACTTTCAATGACGTCTCGAGCGTGGCAGCATTGAAGGGGTCGCCGTGACCACCATCGACAGAAGGCTTGTAATGATAAAGGCTGTAGGTGTCCTCAGTGTAATCCCAGGGCTCAAGAGCCACCGCGCCAGGATTATTTGAAGCACTTTTGATCTCTTCAGAGTCTCACGCGAGACCATTGTCGACGCTATCAGTCTCGCTTTCATGGTCATTATCTGCCGCAAGTTGGAATTCCGAGCCGTCGCGTGAACGTATTAGGGCAACCCGGCCGTGATGATGGGAATCCAGCGGGTATATAGCTTCGATCTTCTGAAGTCCTTTTGTCTCTTTGTGGATTCTTCAAATCTCAAAGTAGCGAGGGACGGAGATGTCATGGAGCTTCAACAAGCAAAAAGAAACACTTGATCCGCTTGCCTCATGATGAGTTCTGCCTTGATCTCGAGACCCAGCGATGCCATTGCTGAGGACTGCCACGGCTGGTTTCTCATCGTCTGAGAGACTGTTATATGGGTGCTTAGACATTTCGCTGCAGCTTGGGGGAATCAAGAAGCTGACTGTGTATAGAATCGTAGAGCTTTGTCATTTTGGACTTGCCGGTGAGTACTGTGTTCCTGACTTACCCGCGAGGTGGAGTCTTCAGGGGCTTGAAAGTATCCGCAGGGATGTAATTAAAGCCACGGGTGTTTGTGAACCCAAACATAATGTTTGAGATTGGTGCTAGGCCCGAGAAGCTTGATCCGGACCTCAGCAGGGAGGTTGTTGAACGGATCCATCTTGCTTGATGTTTGAGATTGGTGCGGTATCGCTTCTCGATCATACTGCATCCTGTCTTGCTTGGGAGGAGACCAGTGGAAAGGGGTGGAAAGCACGAGCTTTTCAGCGTCAATCACACGCTAGAAAGTTCACGGGAAGTTGAAAACGCGCGCTTGCTCCATGGAGTGCTATGGCCTGTACCGGCAAAATAGGGTCGAATTTGGAAATCCTCGACTCAGCATACTGCGAGGTAGATTGTCAGAATTTGTCCATTGCAGACATTTTCAGTACAATCTTCAGATATCTTCAACAATCCAGCTGCCCCAGTTTCGTCTGTGTTGTTGTAATCGATCGGGTCCTCGTCTTTGGGGAAGATCTGCAGCCAGGATGCGAAGCGCAGTTGTAGGGTTTTGCGAAAGACCTCCTGTTTGTCAAGGTCGTGTCCTCGAGGCAATACCGCTCAAGGCCAAGCACTGGCACTAAGACGATCCAGAGCTTGAATCTTTACCACAAATAGTGACTCGCGCTTTGGGCGAGTCACCTCCACCTCGCAGGTGCAGCTGGGAGGAATCCGATCCATGTTCCTTGAAGTGTGTGGTGTTTAGTAAACGAGAACCTCTTAGTAGGTGGGCTCTGAAAGGGTCATGGTTGAGGTTGTACGGCAAGAGCCTATATTAACTCATGAACCTCCATTCGTGGTAGGAGTCTCTTGATTCTTGATGCGTTTAGCAGGAGGCGATGCTGTAGCGATTGGTCCCAGCCTGGAAGTGACAATACAAGCATGCTTATAGATGACTGTGTTGATGATAGTTTGACCAAAGCCCTCCAGGTTTGGAAAGCAGCACGTTGGATCTTGTTCTTTGATCATACGCTTGATTTCCATAAGCTCATTTTGGTTGAGCTGAAGGTCAATATCTGATGGCTTATTCAAGACCTTGCTAGCCTTTCCCTTGGCCTTGTTAAAGCTCCTGTTAGCTCTAGTCGCTTAGTATGCTCTATGAGAATAGTACATGTTGCGTAGAAACTCGTCCTCAGAGAATGAAAGCTGTTTTGCCGTTGCCTTGTCTGCCGCCAGTTCCCTAATTTAAGTCATGTAATAGCTTGAATCTTCAAAGGCTTGGGAGATGACTAATGGCTCAGCGATACTGGGCGTCGCTTTGGTGCCTAAGATGCCGAGGTAACGGCTCCGATTTGAAGAGCCTCGCGTCCTCATACATGGCGACATCATTCCATGTCTCACCTGGGATCTTGCGATTGCGAGACCTCGGCCAGTCGGGGGTGGAGCGCGTTACATTCGGGTGAGACAGCCGTTGAGTACTGAACTGTATCTTGCATGTTGTCAAATAGCGGTACAGATTCTGGATCGCGGCCAACGACCTTGATTCGCATCTCGAGTTCGATCTTATAATTTCTCGCCCTAACCTTCTTGCCCGCTTTATCGGTAGGTTCTTCTTCGGGCGTAATTGGCCAAGGCTTCGTGTCTCAAGAAAAAGACATCAACTTCAATCGTGGGCACGATATGCTCCGTCAACGCCTTCTTCAGTTCGGTTGAAGTGATAGTTGAAGTAGGTGGTTACTCATGAACTATATTAGACACATATAAGTCACGCGAACTTGAAAAGTTGCAGTCTCTCCATCTTTGGATGATAGTTGAGGCAGCCGAGAAGGTAGTTCACTCATCAATTCTTCCGGCGTGTGTGGAAGAGCGAGTCTGAGTAATGGCGGTCGGAGTGTAATTATTTGAGGGCCACTGAGCACGCCTCTCCAATTTGTGCGTAACATCTCGTAGTTTTGACTGGATATAACTTCCAAAGCCATGGGGAGAACCGGAGTTTCGACTCATAGTGAGACCGAGCATGACACGTATAGAGAGGATTGAGGGAAGAGTAACAAGCTCAGGCCAAATTTCTATCTCGGGTGACATTCTGGGGCTCGTTGAGGATAGAGCCGTCAGAATCTGAATCGCGGCGAGGGCGCAATTGTTTGGGTAGGGCGAAGCGAACACATATGCAACAGGTTCGGCCGATCCGGTTTGCTTGCGCTTTGGGTCTTTGTTCCTGTGGCAGGTGTTTAGGTTCCGAAGATGTCCTGTGGATCATAAGATGGACGATCTCAATCCTTCCAAGCGTTGTTCTTGGAGGGTTCTGGATAATTGGCATGTAAGGCGGCAATTCATGCCGGGTTTCGAAGGGTCTCTCAGCGCGATGTCAAAAAGCGCTCGATGGAAGGATTGCGACCTGCGCTGAAGTGGTGCAACCTCTCGATATGGCTTGTTGATCCTGTATAGCAGACTCTTTCTCTTGCTTAGCTTGTCCGAGTTTTGTCGCAAGCTCTTTCGTCTTTGCAACCTAGTGTGCCTCTCGCTTCATCGAGTATGATGGCGCGATCTAGACTTACTCCTCTTGCAGAGGCATCCATCCTGCAGGAAAGCCTGTGTGGCAGGGACGCGTGATGAATGTTGGCCTGGTGGAATACACATAGCTGAGGTCTGTTGAAGCTCCTCCGCCATCGTAGGGCGAACTAGCTAGTGCGTCTAGCAGTATCGATACGCCGCGTGCTACAAGTGACTTGAAGAACAGCCATATGTGATAGGCGATGCGCTGCAAGACCGTTGCAAACTGTCTTCCAATGGCGCCCTGAATGTAACGGGGTAATGACACCGCCTACCACCGAGAGCCCCGTCGGGTCGAGGGCTTCAAACACTGTTGAGGATACACTCGCCGGCCTTGTGCTTGAAAGGAGCGTGGGTACCAAGAGGATCATAGAATGAAACTCATCAACGATAACCCATCCAATAGCTGATGGGATACTCGACTGTTCTCAGGTTCGGGATTTGTATCAGTGCCATTTTAGGTGAAGCCTGAGTACCGAGCTTACGATACCCTTCTTTAGACAACCTGAAGTCAAAGAGGTCCAGCTGTTCCTTACGCTTTGCCTCGGCTGCCTTGTGTTTGTCTTCAGCTTCTTCTGAGCGATCTCCGTACTGGACCAGTTCCCTGCACAGAGCTCTTCAGTACTTCTGAGCCCTCTGATCGCTCAAATTCACCACAGGGAAGTTTCATGTCTCCGTTCTCATCTTCAGCGTGCCCAGTGGTCTCAAACTTCTGACGTAGTGAGCCCTCCGAGGAAGGAGAATCCGGTTTCGATTGTGCGTCGTTCTCTTTTCCAGGGTCTTCGTCGTCTGCGTGGGACAACAAGATGCATCGCTTGCATTTTTTCCCTTGGGCCGCACAAGGTGATTCTCTGGGGCAAGACTGGCATCGTCCACGACAAGTATTGACATGGCGACACTTGCCGAGAATATTGGATGTATCGCAATGCATGATTGGATATTTGCGCTTGTGGTGATACCTGCCACCAGGCTGATAGTGCTCCATCCACTCGACACTTGGACCGTTGGCAGCCTGGCTGCGTGATCTGTTGCTGTACAGCTTCCGGAAAGATGGCACATTCGAGGCTCTCCTTAGTCTTATCGCTATCCATGATAATTGTTTGTCTGTGATAGTGAGACTTCGGGATTTGATGGCAGGGTATCTGCAAAACGAAGTCTTTGGTAGTCGAAGTTGAACCAACGAACCGGTCGCTGTAGTTGATGGGCCGTTTGCCAGAATCCTGATATTGACGAGAGGCATGGGTGATCCGCCCGCTGCTCCAGCGGCACACTGTTCAACTTCACCATGAGGTTCTCATGTTCCCTCACCTTGGCTATACGACTTGTTGTATTACATTGGCGACCTTGTGATTTTGCCCATCCAATGCACATGGCTCCCTTGATAATGATGCGGAGCATCGTTTTGTAGTCCAAAGTTTCGTCGGAACATGATATAACAACTTTGGGTATCGCAACGCCATTGTAGGTACTTGTCGATGCCAGGGTCAGACGACTGTCCTGCGCAGGATATGGATCGTGGTTGGGCTTTATATGCGCCTTGAACTGATGGACGATGTATGCTCGATGAAACCTGTAGCATTAGTAGTACCAGTAACGAGTATGATTGAGGTCGAGCCTGTTTTACATCCCTGGGTAAAGAAGTCGCCCCAGTGATCGTGTCTGCGATAGCGAGTTGGTGTCCAAGACCAGTGGGAATCGCGTCGATGTTAGCATCGTCTTGGTCGTCAGTGGGCTGATCTACCTGCTCGGAGGCAGTTGGTGTGATGACCTGTTGAGGAACTGGAGCTCTGTCGCCACGGCATACTCAGCAGGAGCGTCGGGCGACAGGATTGAAGGTCAGGCTTGGTTCTTGACTCCCCAGTGAGGCTTTCTCGTCTCGTTGGGGTTTATGGTGATCCGCACTTCATGCCAGTCTTTATGACCCTCAGTATTTTGCTAACAATGGGCAAGCACTGAGTGAAAGAACTTTTGGTCCCCTGGAGCATGAGACCCGTTCCATGGCGTTTCGAGGCTGTGTCCCGCAATTCTGAACAGTTCCATAAGCTCTGGTGATAGAAGCAGCTGTTTGAACACTGGGGAGAGATGATTTGGCAGTGCTTGACGAGCCGCTTGCACTCCCCGATCAATACTCCCAGCTTCGATGGTTGTCATCTAGATGGCCCATGTGAGGCCACTAGTCTTGCGACACGGTTGCGTTCAAGTACCGATTGTAAAAGTTGACATGTCGGCTTATATAAATATAATAGAGGATCACGAAGCATGGTAACTCTGTTGTTGATCGTTCATCTGAGCTGCAACAGATAAATCTTCACATGTGCTGCCTCAGTCAAAGCGACTAGGACAGTCATGACTTTCATGGCCTTGTCGCGTCCTACAAACCGTTGTCATCGATCGTTCTTGTGCGAGCCTGCATAGTCGCAAATCCCACGGATCACGAGACATGGGAACTTGTCCAATGAGGTAAGCTGGAGAAACCTTGTCGTACACTTGAGTCTCGCCCAATCTGGTTCCAAATGAAGTGGGCGTCGCTGATCTGGGGATCATTGTCCATGGCCACAACACGGTAGAAACCTCGCCTTGCTTTAGGTCCAGACCAGGAATGACCTGTGCCATTTTCGTTCGGGGGTACTCGCGGCTAGAGCTCTTGGACTCGGTAGAAAGAACCCTCAAAGATCGACCTGGATCTTGGGGCGACACCGCTATTTTGTTAGCGAGAACCAGCATATTTGTTCTTGCGTGCGGACAACACCGGCGTAGCTGGCAAGATACTGATACCCAGGAGTCATTGCTGCTTCTGGCGCACGAGGGCTAGTCGCCTTGACCTATATAGATCGGTTCTCTCGTGGCTCCCCCGCATGGTGCCTGTCTCTGTAGGACTATGAACCTTGTTCTCGGACTCTCCCCATTCTCCTCACTCACCACCCGCTGTTGCCTCTTCTCCGCCATCTTCTTCTTCTTTTTAGCCTGGCCCTCGGGCTTTTTCTGTACTGGCTTCAAGTCCCGATAAATCTTCCACTCGGCAATATGGCATCTGTCGTCGCAAGCCCTGTTGCGAGATAGTTCCCAAACTTGTTACGACAAGGTTTGTATTCGCATTACAAACTACTCTGCTTGATCGATGCGTAGGTTGTAGGGTTTGTGTGGCATGCTTTGATAGGCTTCTCTTGTGGGAAGGCATTATGAGCTATATGTATCGATGGCAGATATAAGCAGTCAATTCCCTGTCTGCTGCATGTACTCAGCGATCCTCGATGCAGCGGCATGCCTCTTGGCGAGGCCGATGTTGCTTTGACGAGGAGAGACTGATTGTCTATATGTTCCCCCAGCGCTGACAAGGAAATGGGTTCCGGGCGCCATCACGGCTTCTGAGACACGAAGACTCGTATCTTTGGTCATTGCGGAGTAATGCTCGTGTAGCTAACGACCTCTCTGGCATGGTGCTTGTTGACGTTCGATGTCCGTCTACCAGGTTGGTTGAGGATCCTTCGCATGCTTTAGGGCTTCTTCAAGGGATCTGGACCCCTGGTAACAACTGTTTCTGGGGAAGTTATAGTTCTGTGGCGCTTCTTATTGTCATTTCTGCTGCGAAGAAACTTGAATTTCTTACCACAAAAGCTGCAGCTGTACCGCTTGGCATTGTCGACATGCTCGCGTTGATAATGAGCTATGGTGTAATGCGTAAGCTCGAATGTTTTTATACACCCTCGACACTCAAACCGCCCGTCATCCTCGTGTCTCGTTGTTGAGGATTTTGTGCGGATTGTGCCATTCGGGTGCTATCACGGCTTCTAGGACACGAAGCCTTATGAATTTTGTCTGAGCGGAATGGCGCTTTCAAAGCGTCTAGAATCGCCATGGCTCGACAGGAACTCTGCGAGGTGGCGTAGCAAAATGACCTCCCAGGGTCGCTATCGTATTAGATCTTCGTCCAGGGCCCCGAGTGTCACGGAACTGAGTTAAACGCTGGTTAGATTGAATAGGTAGAGGCGATAATAACTCTGTCATAGCTGTCTGGCTAGCATAGTGCTTGCAAACAACATCGAGAGAGACCGAGTATCTGATGGGTCGGTGCCGATGTGAACAAATCGCCCGAGTTGCATAAGCAACGTATGTCCAAGGCGCTTCTGGTCCACCAACCGGTTAATGCCTATCTGCTGGATGCACTCAGCGACCTTTGATACGACGATCAATGCCTTCATGACGAACACTACATTGGCCAGGACGGAACTCGTCGATATAACCGTTGAGAGTAGTGGCGTCAATGGCGAGTGATGGTGAGGTTGTAGTCCAACGCTTTCCGGTACAAACATATTGGTTATCGAGAGATGCCCTGATATACTTTGTCAGGGGTGATTGCACCACGCTAGGTTAGGAGGCCCGTTGGTAACCAATGGAACCTCCTGAGGACTTATTTCAGGAACATCGTTATGTGAGCGCTTGCCGAAGAAAGATAAGCGCTGAGCTATCATGCGACGCTTGCAGCCCATAGAATCGAGGTCCGGATAATACTCCAAATTCTGGACGGAAAGGTGGCCACGACGAAAGACCAAGTTATGGTCTTCTCGAAGCTAAGGGATAGGTATCTCTATCCGCTGCGACTCCTTACTGTGGATGTCGAAGTTGCCCTTCTTCCGTGGTTCAAACTGGTGAGCCATAATTGTCTCGTGTTCCAGAAGAAATGAACCGCGAGCGCAGTTCATCCCGCCATGTGTCGCAACTGTGTATCCGGTAAACGGTCTCGTTCCAATGTATGGAAGAGGTTCTGGATGCTCTTGCATTTCGCAAAATTGACACTAAAGCGAGAAGTATATTGTAGGTCATCGATGTCGGGGTCGCGACAAAGACATTTCGACCTCAAAACCCTCTAGCTTCGGGGAGGCATGGTTGCCTTGAGCCTTGTCTTGGAAGGAAGTTGTCTGGATGCCTCAGAATAGGGGTTGGTAAACGCTGTCTAGAACGAGAAAGGAGATAGGCAGCAAGATGGGTTTCCCAGTGTCAAAATAACAATATGATGTGTACTGTGTTATGTCCAGTGTTGTGGCAGATGGATGCTGGTAGACTTGAAGGACGGAACTCCCCTCCATGCCGATCTTTTGATCAGTATCGTCAGCAATGAAGGGATGTCACCAATTTCTTCGTCTCGCAGCTGCAGCTCGCATTTGGCATTGTCGAATGTAGTGGTGAGATGGTGTATAAAGCCAGAGTCACGACCCGACCATCAAGTGGACAAGACGATGCCGCGTGGAAGGCACAGCAGTTGTCTTCTTCTTCCACCTGTCGGTATTCGAGATTGAACGGCTTATATGCGGCTCTCTTCATCTCAGCTTCCTCCCCGTGGACTTTAACTTTGGGGGCTGATTGACTGGTGATTGACGTGTCCACTGATTGGAGGCGTTTCGTGACTGCTTGGAAGGATGGTGTCAGGATGCTACAACCACAACAAGGTCATCAACGCTTTTGCGAGGCTGGTCGATCAGACTGCCTTGAGGAAGCATCTTTGCCACTGTGAAGTAGCCTTTGCCTCTGAGGCTCGAACTGGAATGAGTGTATTGATCGCCAAGCTCGAGTAAGCAGCGTTGTGATAACAGCCAACACTGTTGATTGTCAAGCTCTGTTCTTGGACTGATCCGGCAGAACGATCGTGGATCGGAGAATTTCTTCGGATTGTATCTCGCCTTTAAAGGGATAGTTTCCATAGCAGCAGAACGGTGCTTTGATCTCCCTGTCAACGTTGTTGAACTCTTCGCAGCTAAGAGGGCGATCTTCAGTCGAGATAGTCTTTTAGTTCTTGAAGCAAACATGTCTTCTGGATAGCCCATTGACTGAGCATTATCTGGCGAGTACTGGGGTCTGTCAAAAGCTTAGCAGCGATACTGTCGTGTTTGCGCTGCATGAGTCAAGGGTCTCATAGCCCGGTTTGAAGCTCAGAGGTTGAAACATCACTCAGATCAGAGAGCCGAAGACCCCTAGCGACAGTACGAGCGTGCTCGAGGGAATTGGGAGGGGAGCTTTGGTCGAGGTAACATTTCGAGAGGCCGTAGACTCATGGAGGGGCTTCATTACGAGGCTCACGTTGGGGGTATATAATCATGAGCATGTGGTTGCTTCGAAGGATGATCCGACAATACTGGCCAATGGCAGCTGAGCGAGCTGTCGCTACTTGCACAATTGTTCACGTAGCTCAGGGCTGAGTATGTAAAGGAATACTGTGCCAATGCCTCGCGCCGATGTTAGAGGAACTCGGAAGGAGGCCACGTAGTTTGTGGAACGTATCGGGCGTGGTCGGAATCTTGGACGCGGATTCTCTCTAGCTTGGTCGAGGTGATCTTCTAAAGTCTCCTCCTGCTCTGATTTCTTCCACAAACGTGAGGAATGGTCGATGTGGATGAGGCTCGAGATGTTCAGAAGAGTGAGGCAAAGCTCCAGCCTGACCTGTAGCCAACCAGAGGCTAGGGTTTGAAGGATAGATGAAATCGATAGCATCTCCCAACTCGAGCTGAGATGCCGGGTTTGGGGTTGAGTGTGTGTTGATTGTGTGTTCGAGGTGACTTGTTGGGCCAAAGTATCTTGGTTTAAGGGTTAAGACACGTCGCCTAGTCGGCGAAGATATTGAAAGTCTGGTTGACCGACGTTTGTGTTTTGGGCTAGATGTGATATTTCCAGGGGACTTATGGTTGGGAGCTTAAATCAGCGGACAGAGCTTAGTCCGTTGATCGACCAACGGCTCTTTGAGAGGTTTGAGTGGAAGATACTCCAACCCCAACACAAAGGTGAGGAACACCAACCAACTCATTTGGGCAATATACTCGTTGTCCTCCTTGGCAACTAATACGTAGTTTCGGGCTGAGAAGGCAGAAACCGCGATTATTTCGTCCAGTGGTGGACAAAAGAGCGCTTGCTCAATCGTCTCAAACATAGAAAGTCTCAGAAGCAAAGACATCGACTCGTAAGAGCAACAGATACAAGCTGTAGGTTCGGGGGAATCGACTGAGAGAGAGCCAGAGAGCGTTGAGGCGAAATGAACGTCAAAGGAATCGTTCTTGCCCGGACCTAGAGTTTGTCGGAATTGTAGATGCTAGGAGGGCGCCGAGTAGAACAGTTGAGGATAAGAGTGTGTAGAGTGTAGGGGTCTTCTACGCTAGCAAGACTTTGCGTGCGATAGACCAGGCTCTCTTCTTGTGCTCCAGAGCGCAGTTGAAGGAGACCTCGAAGGGGGAATATGGTGAAGAGATAAAATTTCAAGGGAAGAAGACTCTGAAGAGAGGGCTTGACAGTGGGAGAAGACAACGGTGGTCAAAGTCTTACAACTTCCTCAGCCACAGACAGTGAGAAGATTGCAAGAGACAAGTTTCTGAAGTGGTAAAAGTCAGTATTGCAAGACTTAAACATGGCGCAGAGCGAAGTTACCGGCTGTAGTATCAAGACTAAGAGTGTGACGCTTGTAGTGAAGCTTCGTGACGCAGAGAGTAGAGGGGAGACAATGGCGGAGGAGATGTCGAACTCTCAACCATGTATAGGTAGATGCCAATGAAAAGAGTTACGTCTTTGAGAAGAGACAAAGGTTAATATTTGTTGAGCATGGTGTAGAGGAGAGTACCTGCTGTAGACGTAGATGCCCAGCTATCAAGGCTCAGAGCCGGATGCTTGGAATAAGACCTCACAGAGAATAGAGGGTGGGTGGAAAGCGATGGCAGAGCACAGAGGATGGATGTAAGACAATGGTG